TGGGACTATGTCGTCGATGGAGAAGAGACAATCTTTTGGTAGATCCAAGGCCAACATGAGATAGTCGTCCCTTTTCGCGACATACGGAGGAAGTGGATCCATAAAGTCAATGATATTATATTGCTGTCAAAAATTGTAGATGAAGGCTGCTTGCACTTCAATGGGAATGTGACGCAGCTCCACCCAGAAGTGATCCCTCATTAACTGTGCTCTTTTCTCTTCCGGGCTCATTTTCTTGGGTTGCCAGGGGTAGATACGCACGTCTGACCCATCCCATTTGAGTTTTCTCCACCCATCCATCCTCTGCTTATCCTGGGTAAACAAACTTAGCATTGTAAACACTGTCGACGAAAGCGGTTGGATTAAGAAAATTTTGTGCACCCCCTCCGTGCTGCCTTTTATTTCTTCCAATTTCTTGCAAATCCATTTTGTCTTATCATTTACTGATTTGTAAGCCGCATCGTCATAAAAAATCCAGTTGCTGGCGTATGTGTTGTCACGTGCCTCCAGCTTGTCTGTCGGATAAGTCTTCATTATCGTTTTCCTACCACCCTAGTCAACCACCTGGTGCTCTGAAGGTAGGAGGAAGAGGGTGAGGAAATAGGCCCTGGCAGATGAGAGGTTGCGGAGGGGGACGTTCACCACCTCCGTTTCTCCTTGTTGGTCCCCTGGTGACTGACGTTGGATAGCCAGGGTTTTTTCCTGCATTGTCTCTCTTACCCTCTGTGCCCATGAGGGTTTCTCCCTCCTTAGGTTCGCGTTGGGCGCCTCTTTCGGTGAGGTGTCCTGCTTCTTCTGTTCAGCAATCCTCTCTTCCTCAGTCACAATCTCATCTCCATCGTCTGTCTCCTCCTCCTCCTCCATATGCGCTGCTTCGGATGTCTCTGCCGCCCCGGCGGCTGGCATCATGATTAAGTCCTTGTCCGCGTGCACCCTTGCCGCCGGGGAATCGCCAGTCGCGCCTTGCAGGTCGGGCAGTTGGGGGGCGATGGGCGCGGACGACAATTTGGGCAGGTGTGGCCATTGTTGCTGGTTTGCCAATGGGGGGGTCCTTGTACCTCCCCCCGGACAGGACGACTGTAGGGGAGATTCCTGTTCGACGGGCATCTCAGTTTTCCATAAGGGGTCATCGGCAGTTGTCTGTTCTGACCATGTCTCATTGCCCCGTGATAGAATAGGAGGGAGCCCGCTCCCCTAATCCTTTTAAGCCCTGATTCCATTGCCCCCAGTTGTTGCTCTCACGCTGTGAATTTCTTTTTTCTGCTTGAATTTATTTTCCTTGTTTGTGTTCGCCTATTTAGTTATTATTGCTTTGTCTTATTGTTCGTTTTTAGGATTGTTGTTTTAAGCATGGAAGCCCACTCACACCACTGTCGTGCTGCTCGGCCGGTGGGGGATGCGACGCGGGGGTAGGGTACGAGGGGAGGGGAGAGGAGGGGGGATGAGGGGGGCTTTCACCAGAAGAGATGTTCCCGCTGCGTCTCCTGTCTCCTCGTTCTCTCCAGTCTTCTTGTTCGCTTCTGGAGGGCCGCCTCTCCTTCGCTATCCTGACAACTCGCTATCCTCTTCCCGCGGATTCCACCCCATATCCCTACCCTTCAGTTCCTTGGTCAACACGCTTCCACCCCGTATCCCTACCCTTCAGTTCCTTGGTCAACACGCTACCTCTTCCCAACAGATTCCACCTCTTATCCCTTCCTTTATTTTCCTTCCTTTCCTTCTGCCCTTCTTCCAGCGGATTCCACCCCGTATCCCTACCCTTCAATTCCTTGGTCAACACGCTTCCACCCCATATCCCTGCCCTTCAAGGAGCAACTCACTATCTCCTCCCAGCAAATACCGCCTCTTATCCCTTCCTTTATTGTCCTTCCTTTCCTTCTGCCCTTCTCCCCCCACCTCGGTTCAGTCCACCAGTCGTAAAGTTTCCTTCCGCCTCCCGTAGCTCGTTCCTCGACCAAGCCGTTGTATCCTTCCTTGCCTGTAGAATTCGTAGGTCAAACTGATGTTCCCTTCTCGACCGATCTCAACGTCGTCGTGCAGTCTCTCTTTCCGAACCGTGTTGTAGGCATACTCCGCCCCGTAGTCGCTGTTTCACTTCGCACTATTCGATTCTACTCTAGCAAGAATGCTGCCTTCACGACCGATCACACTCCCTCCGTGACGCCGTCTTACTTCGCATACTTTGATCCTCCCTATACTCGCTCCTTCACGATCGATCCCGTCGTTGCTACTTCACTTCGCACACTTAGATCTTCCTTAGACTCTCTCCACTACTTCTCTGCTGCATCGGCGCTAGATGCCACGTGTCGAAACCGTGGCGGCTGCAGAGCTCCACGTGGAACCCCCGTACCCGGGGGTCAGACCACGACCTGCGTCAACCCGTGACGCGGACCGGTCCAGCGCCTCAGTGCGATCGCGCGTGCGCTAAGCGCATGAAAAATTTAATGAAGGATATTTATGATCTTGGAGGATACTCTCAAGCCGAAACCGGGTAATGGCCCCGATACTTCAATTTCTTCATAAATTTTTTCTACATGTCTTCATATGGGACGCTGGGCCCGATTCCTAGCACGTGCTGCTGCGAGGAGATCGTAGGTTGCAGATATCTCAAAAACTTCGATCATGCCTCTTTAACCTGATGCTCTGGGTGGTCAGCCTCCCTTGTTGCATAAAGATTACTATAAAAGTTATGGGCTACTTGGACGATCTCTTCTGTGACCGATGTAAGACCTAAAGGACCCTCCGGTTGATCTATCTGAGTGTTTCTTCCCCTAGATTTAATTTTCTGAAAGAAGAACTTCGTTATTCTCTCTCCCTCCTCCCATTCCCTAACCATGGCTCTGATTTGAAGACCTCTTAGTCTCCAACGTTCCCAATCGGCCAACTCCTCCCGTGCCAATTCCAAAACCCTTTCGTACATTTCTTGGCCAGGATAACTTATCATGTTGCGTTCCGCTAGCTTCATCGCTTGCTGGAGCTCCTGCTCCCTTTCCCTTCTTCTAGCCGCCAACCTTCTAGCTACTCCCGCCGAGGCTTTAGAAAGTGCGTTTAACAGATCAGGGAATGTTTGGGTATCCGGATTGTGTGACTGACATACTTGCAGTACCGCCTGTCTCATTTCCGAAGTGCGCAGCAGTGAGTTATTTAATTTGTAAAAGCCCTTCCCCCTTATGACTTGCTCATTATGAGATGGAGAAAAATCGGTTTATGGTCCAATCCTACCGCAAAGGGTAGATCTCCAATGCCTACTGATTGTATCATACCTATTATTCTAGGAGATGTTAGAAAATAATCTATCCTAGACGCGGACACGTGTTGACTGCGGTTCCTTTTTAAATATGTGAACCGTCTTTCTTCTGGATATTGCAGTCTATAGGGATCCACTAGGTCTCTGTTTGTCATCATACTGTGCACCGGTAAGGCTTCCTCCCCCAACCCCTCTTCCCAGTGTCTGCCTGATGCCGACATTCTGTCCAAACGGGGTCCAGGGCAGCATTCCAGTCCCCAACTATTATTAAATGCCGATCTGCTTCCAATTGTTCCTGTATGATTTCCATAGACGCTGACCTCTGCTGTAACTCATTTGGACAATAGCCACCTAGTAATGTATACGGTTCATCATGAAGCTCAAAGTTAACCCTCACCCATCTTCCCTCTATCTCGTCCACTGCAGTGCTAATTACTTTTATTTTTCCTACCGCTGGCGAACTACTATTCTGTATAATGACCACTCCTGCTGAGTGTGATCTGGCCGCTGGTGCCCACCAAGCCTCCTTGACTCACTGGAGTTTTTGAATAATCTTGTTCTTAATTTGTATGGAGGGAGTCCGCATAGCTGGGGAGGAGACGACGGACTTGATTAAACAATTCATACACCAAGAACTTATGACACAATGGCAGAAGGTCAAAAGTGGGCTGGATTCATGTCAGACAAACGGGAGCCTTCGTGGGATCCTGGATTAGGCGCTAAAAAGAAACAGAACAAAAAATCCGACAATTTTCAAGGGACTGGCTGGGCGGCGCAGATGGAGGCCGAATTGCTTTCATCAAATGGGATGGGGGCCAAGCCCCCGGAAACGAAGCAGGAGATCACGACGGCGACCGGGAGCTGTTCACTAAAGATTATCAGATTTGTTTCAGGGACTGGACAGCGGTGGGTCAAGAGATTCCGTTACGGCCACCGTCAGATTTTCCCGAMCCCTTTCCTCCCCACCAGTTGGCGGTAGTGGACATGCAGTGGTATGGGSCAGAATGATCTCAGCAAGGATGGCAGAACTTTCTTGACAGGGGAAAGGGGAAAGGCAGGCAGTCTGGTTCATGCAAGGGGTGCAAGGGACGCTGGACCCGGTTTCCAAAGGCAGGCAGTCTGGTTTATGCAAGGGACGCTGGACCCGGTTTCCAGCAGGTGTTGCGACTCAGAATATGGACGCAAGGGGAGCCAGGAAGAGAGAGCAGCCATCTGGCGCCTGGTGTAGCGTGAAGAGGCCCCCCATGCGTCCCCCTGCTCAGTCAATCCCCTGGCTTCCAGGGTAATCAATGCTGGCAGGAGCATATCACATTTTCTCAGGATGATTGTATTTTGTCTATGTAAGGGACGCTGGACCACCCGGTTTCCAGCA